ATGAAACATTTTGCCACTTGCTGGTGCCACTTACCGTAACGAAATTCGTGCCGGGACTCATTGGCGGGAAAACGCTGAACGCACTATAACCGTAGGTACAAGTTGGACGGACTGAGACACGGTAGCTTGCAGTACTATTTGAAATCTTCCATTTCGATGGCAGTATTCTTGTCCCGAAGACGCTAAAATGAAGAGATATTGGCGTTAGACTATGGGCCAAAGGGTCGAAGTCAGTGTTCCCTTTACCGTCCGTTGACCTTCGAAAGGGTTGTTGTGCCGTGTGACATACATAGCGAGCGGCAAGGTTCACAGTAGTCTTCATCGAAATATTTTTAAGGTTTCTATGACCGATGGAACGACAACAGTCAATCGAGTTATACCTGTCGGAGTCACATCGTCCATGGGTGAGTACCTAGAATGCACTACTGAATGCCCTCAAAGGCTTATTTCTTGATGATCGGATCGGTGGAGAAGTTGGCGGAGACCCATAGCCATCAAGCATGCCTCATTAGTACGCCTCCAATAAAGAAGGCGGGATAGTTATGAGTCTGTATCCGGCCTCTGATTACCGTGGAATAAGTGTTTGATGTGGAAAATTGGGTGGCAAATGAGCTGTAGTGAAATACAGGTTTGCCATTTTCCGACTGGACGAACGCAGATAAAGATAAATTGGAAGGAATATTTCGTTGGAGCTCACCTAGGTAGCAGCACCCTCGACTTAAGGGTGTTCCATAAGAAAAAGTGTTCCAATTAAATAATCTGGTAAAGTCCGCAATGATCGGATGAGCGGGGGAAAGTGAGACGAAGATAAAGTTACTGTGCTTCTTCCTTAATGCACGTCTCCTCATGCTCACGAGAAGGGGTGAACCAATGAGGAAGACGAGATTGTTACAGTCCCCACCCATTTTCCAATTATCGCGAAATGTGTGTGTATAATGTGGAAAATAAATGGCAATCGATTTGGAGAGTATGCATTTCAGTGTGTCAAAACGGTGGAAGCGCTGCCGCCACAAGTTGCTCCTGCCCGGCCGACTTCACTACACCGGACTGTTCACGTCCTCTTTGCCAGCAGGGTGTGTTGAACTCATGGGGTGATGCATTGCATTGTGGACTGGAGATGTTGGAGGCCGTCTGTGCGGCTGTAGGTTATCTTTTCTCGACAAAATCAGTGGAATAGCTACCAATTCTATTGCTAATGTATTTCTAGCATCGGGAGCATGGGTGAGTGAGGTTGCGCACTACAACTCCCTCGCAAATTTCACTTTCCATGTACTGACTATCTTTCAAGGGAATTGTCACGTCCTGGATTCGTATTGATTACATATTTCGGAAATTTTTGGGAAGCAGAGGGTCAATGCGATGAGCGGAAGGTGTAGTGCCACATAAATTCAGAAAAAAACTAGGGCGCATTTTAAAACAGAAAAAAAACAATCGCGGGAAATTTTCCTCGTTAAGGAAAATATTTCGCTGTCAAATTTAATTTTCTTTGCCTTAGCCCGGCAAGGTGCGATTCTGAAAGGAGCCTCCCAACGATGCTCTATCGCTCCTCCTTACCTTAGATGTGCTTCATATTTTCGATCCTGGATGAGGTATGGGGTTGTGGTGAAGACGGAGTAGTTGCAGAGGCGCCTATCAGCAACGCCGGTGCTGGTCTCGAATGCTCATTCGATCCTATCCGGGCAAGTACCTTATATTCTTCTTGGTCTGATTGGGTGAAAGTAATCTTGCCTGATAGGATAAAGAGTTCTCTTGTCCTTTTGGAACCGGACGAAGAAAGAGAGTGTACAAATACAAGTGAGATTACTGGTGCAGCATTGTAAAAGGTGTTAGGCTTGTTCGCAAGACCAACACTTTGAACAGCTAAGGTCGTCTTTCGAAGGCAGTGAGCAGACGGGTTCAGCACGCATTTCAGCAACAATGTTTAACAGCAACTACCCCCCTCCTCCCAGCCTTCATACCAACTGCCTTTAGGTAGCTTTTTCTTCATCTCAAGTGAATTTATTAGCTATGTTTCAGGGAAATCGCCTGCGTAATAGCTGAATGAATGAAGATCTGAATAAAGATTTATCATGTATTGTGTTGTTTTACTGGATTACGAGAGAACCAATTGAGCCTAGAGGAAATAAAAACAGTGCAGGGTGGGACGGGTCGGCTACCTCTTGAGAGATGACTTGTCATCCATCTCGCACGGTAGTTTGAATGTGATGGGCAGCAATGGGCGGAATATCACATTATTCATGCACTCCTCTTTGCCGTACTAGGGTGCTCACTGCGAGGCACAACAGGTATGGGTCTCTGCCCATTTCTCCTCCCGCCCATTTATCGCGGAATGTGCCTTCAATCATAACAACGATAACATAACACTTTGCTGATGAGGTAAGCTGTATTGTATTGTTGTCAGTGGCATCTCCAGACGGAGCAGTTACGTTCCATACCCCCGAAAATGGGGAGGGCGTGACTGCATTCTTCTTTGAAAGTGACCTACTGTGTTTCCAGTGTGGTATTGCCGCTTTAGTTCAACTGTAATCATGTCTTTACCGAACGCTAGGATAGGACGACAGTTGCTTCAATCAAAATATCTCCCAAGAACACGTCCTACACCATGGTCAAATGCAGGGCACAGCCACCTTCTCACCATCTCCGGGATATATAATGTACCTGTATCTCTGTTGATATCGTTGCAGGCAGTCGGGGCGGTGTCAAGAGGGATGGAATAAGGCTACCCGAGGCATTTTCACCTACCTCCTCGTATCGAGTAATCGTATCACTGTTGGGTGGGATAGAACGGTTCGTTTCCCTCGACACGGCGCACTCGATGATTGGGGATAAAAGACGGTGTGTGGCGGTCATAAAGCGGCCATAGTAGGCGCGATATGTAGTTAGGGCACGTGAAAAAAGTGAATTACGTCCCCACTCTGGTTGCCTCATCATGCTATTTTTAATCGACCTTTGAATGATAAAATTATGAGATGGAGTGGATAAATACAAACTTTCAATATCTCGACGTATAAGGGTTGAAGTGGGAAGATATTAAGTATACGCCGCAATCTGGAAATCGCACGTTTCTGAAGTTATGAACTGCGGGCCCGGTGCATAGTAAGATAGAAACATGTGTCTTCTTAAGTCGAGCACAATACTGAGCCATCAATTAACGATTTCAACACCTGCATCACTCCAGGACAAGAATGGGCCTAGAGGAGTGTCCGATTCACGTTCGATTCCTCTACCATGTGCTTTAGAGCAAACACTTTGGTCATTTGGAATATCTTTTTGCCGAGAAAATATTTGCTTGAGACCTAACACTGGTAATAGAAGAAAGATTTACACATGGGCATGTGGGGAGGATCTCGAGAGTAGCAGCTTCATCGGAGAATTTTATTGCTTCGCAATCGGTGAAGTGCCTTTATAATTCTGACGGAAATTCGAGCATAACTGCTTCTTCGGCTCATCCTCGTTGTTGGGTCCAGGTTGTTTTGAAGAGAAGGTGATTTACTTTTTAGGCGGAGGGTTTAGCAGCATTGCAGCTTCCGCGCATGCGTTCGGGGTTGGAATTTCGGATCGGTTCGTGCTCAGGCCAATCAAGACTTATCTCTTCTGGGGACGGTACATTGTTACAGATTCGGTCGAGGAGACAATTGGGGGAGTACATCGGCTCCCCTCGGGCAAGTTTACATAATGTAGTGTAGTTCGGCATGTTGATATACCATTACGATCCAGTGGAAGTAGAATTTCGGCATCCTCAAGATAAGCGTTGTTTCAGTCACTCGATTGGCGTAGTTTTTTCTTTATATATACACTCGTTGCAATAGGGATTTTACTTTTTCACGATAAGTTGACGTCTTGCTAGCCTGGATGCTGTCTGGGCGTGTCAGTCGGGGTAGATTTTGGCGACAGTCAGCCAGCAGTCTCATCAATTTTACGCTTTGTTGCTTCAGCAATTGATGTAAGACTATGCCGTTTTAGAACACCCAGCATAGAGACTAGCCCAAGCGGACAAAACTGTAGTTACAGGATTTTGATGCGATCAGATTCACGGACTCCGCAACTAAGACCAAACCAGACTTCTGAAGGGACATAGGTATAACCCTTTTCACAATGTGAATTCACTTTTTGTCCTAACAAGTGAAGCCCTCAATGGTAAGTGCCGGAGGGTTTAGCGGATTGGTGAAGAAAAGGTAACTTCCCTAAGATATGAAATATGGTAATTTCTAGAAACAATGTGCTACTGTAGTACTGCAGATCAAATTGGCGAGCGTTGGTCACCGTTTCAATCAACAAAGTGGGCCGCCTGTCTTTATTCACACTGCGGTGCTCGCTCGTGTGGGCCTATCTATCTCCTCACATTGTTTTTTTTCAACTTTCTCATCCAGTATTATATTATTTAAACGCTAAGTCATCCCCAAGGCTTTCCATAAGGGCCCTCAGACCCTGAGAATTTCAACAGTATCGTCTGTCGGTCTCCGTATTCGTGTGAACAAGTGGTTCCCCTCAGCCCACGTCGGTTGAATGCGACCTGTCCGGAAATACTGCTTCAGAATATGAAGGTATATCATGAAGTTGGTTGTATAGGTTGGATCAAGGGTTACTCAAAGGCAGTAAGCTCCAAAAGCAGCGCTATTCCAGAATCAAGGTAGTACACGTTCGGGAAGACATGAAACCCTTATGCTTACCAACGAGATGAGATCCACCCTTACTTTATCTCCTGTCTCGTTATACTGCCGCACAACGAAAAACGGAAAAGTGGAACCAACTAAAGAATAGCGTTTGGGGCCTTGGCTGGTCCTCTTGAGGGTGCTATTGATGCACCAGTTTTTTTTTACTTCGATAGGGAGGGATAAAATATAAAAGATAAAGACATCGCCGTAGACATACTCCATTTTT